GGTATTGTGTGTTTGTGGAGGCACGATACTTGCGGTATTCTATTTTGGGGGGGAGGGATGACTGGCTATAGGAACCCTAGCAACATTCATTTAATACATTTCTGTCATTGCGCCCATTTTGTGACCATTGAACTTTCAGAGAGGAGTTAGACTTTTTTAGCATTAGGGCAGTGTGTCCACAACTTGTGTACCAATGTAATGTGTGGTAGCGAGTCGGTACCGGGTGGTTTAATGAAATCATCAACTTACAAGGTGCGCAAGGTTTTCCCTAAGGACGATGTGAAGTTATTTACCACTATGTAATTGTCTCAGGTTTTAAGGCTATAATGGATTGCGGCGTGTCTGCACCCCTTGTAAACGGCCAAATTTCTGGCGTAGCCTGTTTTTGTGCCTCTATGGAATGACTGATTCATTTTGGCATCACTTTCACTTGGTACCGTCTCGTACTATATTCTAGCCTTAATATTTAGGCCCTTTTGGGGCGGTCTCGTTCTGTCTGGCCTATTATACAACAGCTTAAAATTTCTGTTGTATATGTTTTTTGATGTTATATTTTAGCAGTTTACCTCACCATGGTACTTATTGCAATTTTGGTTACCATGATCATCTATTCTTAGACCCATTTTTTTACACGCTTTTGGGGGGGTCCCCTGCCTATACGCAACGGGGGGTACCTTGCCAGAATAGCATTTCTATAGTCTTTAGGTGACACCCTTATTACTCAATACGTTAGCATATTTGGTACCTAGTTCGTCTACCCTCAAGCCTCTGGGCTGCCGTCTATTTATGGAATATAACATTTTTATAGAGGTTGGACACCGCAGACAACACACGGAAGCAATTTGTAGTTGCCTATGAGAAAATCGGTCGTCACGGACGCGGTACGGACTGTTAAAATTGAGCCCTGCGAGGTCGTGTATGAAAGTTGCATTTCTCATTTGGCTACTGAAACTAGAGTTGGGGCTGAATAGTATTACTCCAGTCAGAGCTCGCGATCCATTTACAACATTGACAACTCTTATGCCGACAGCGGAAACTAAGCCTCAAAGGCCACGCGCTGACCGCGGCTTTTCGATGACACGATCGATCAATACACAGACTTTTGTCTTCGTGCGCCGATTTCACCACTTTTATTGAGGCGCGATGTATGCGCCGCACCATGGCACAATTTTATCCTGCGCGTGAGAGCGCGAGCGCGATCGCGCCCTTAAAAATGAAAAGCCTGTATTGAGTATATTTTAATATATACAACAAGTATTGATTGCATTCTACAAAGTAACATATTTAGTTAAGATTTTATTCCATTTAAAGTATAACTTTTTTCGTGCGCACATTACACTTACTCCGCCCAACAAAGTTTGGAGGAGGTTATTGTTTTCAGCTCTCTGTGTGCGTGTGTTTTTTCGTGCGCATCGATATTTAGCGCAGTCTAGCCAGCAAGCCAGCGAGCAGCCAGCGAGCGACCGCGTGTTACATTTGGAGCGAGCAGCAGCAACGAGCAGCTGCTACGCACGCCGAGCGAGACATCAAGCCAGGGCAAATGCGCCAGGTGTACATTGTAACAGCTAACCGTACAGCTTAGAGAACAGTGCGTCAACATCACTAAGGCCATTCTTAAAAAATTCTATGTTTGCTGTCCCGCCGACTCCATGATTTTTTTTAGTGGGTAGGTAGGTAGTTTCATTTTTTGTGTGTGAGGCTCATAATACGTTATTTTTTAAGTCTGGTCTCATGTTTGCCACACATGCTTTGTGCTTTTCAGTCTTAACTATTGAAAAAAAAAATATGCGGAACCAAAAATGTCAAAAACACAAACTTTGGGTCCTGCGGCTACTTTCGCTCGCGCATCGGTCGCGAGCGACAGACCAAACATAAATTTTTTTAAGTGGATGCCTAGCATACGCATTTCGCTCATATCATTCGCCATCGACCGGTAGGTACCCTGTCTTACACTATGTTACCATTGCCTACATGTCAAGTATAGAGTAACGCCGGTCTAGACACAATTTACATCATGTAACTGCGTATAGCGCATTGTTTTGTGGCCAACACCTTCATATTTAATTTTGTTGCAAAATCTTCGGCAGCGCAGCCAAAAGTTTTGTGCTGTTTTATGCCGCTATAAGAGCACAAACTCACTAGGTAATTTTTTCTGCTGGAGTAATCACTATCACGCACGCCTAAAATATGACAATCTAATTTGTCTTACATAAATTAATGATACATTTTTTTTGATTGATATGAGCGAGATGTTAATTTTTAATTTCAGCTAGCCCTACACAGCTCCATTCAACCAGAGAACGGGTACAACGATGGGTTGCGCAAAAGAATGCGTTGCTTCCCCGACCGCCGAAAGCGGTTAAGCCGCGCCACTTTCCGCGGGGATCTGGGCGCAGCGGACCGTCGCGGGTGTGTGTATGTAGGCATTCTCGGCTGCTCCCCGCTAGTACGAATTCGCGCGCGAAGGAAGGCCATGGATTGGTTCCTTCACTCCATCTTCTCTCTTCTCCCTGACGCCCGGAATGCCGGTAATAGCGGAGCAGCCTAACATTCGCCGCAGTTTTTCGGCTGACACGTTACATCGGCTCGGCGACATCTGGCTTTGGAGGGGGCCTTTCCGATTATAGATATGACACGGCGTTTGTACATCCTTCGGGGCCGTCGCTACCGCTCACTGCCGCCATATTTTCGTACCTTATCTGGCGGTTGGTTCTCCCACTCTCTTTCTCTCTTTTCTCGCCACTCCGCACGTCTGTCTTCTCTCTCTCTCTCTCTCTCGCTCGCTCCGCCGCCACGGGTTAATAAGGTATCTATATACATGCATCAATTGCTTTCCGCAGCCAGGCACACAAGCATGGCACTCTGCAGCGTTTCAATTAAAATGCTAATGCCCCTAAATAATAGCAAAATCTATGTACTACGAAAGTCACCGCCGCGGGCAAAACTCCCGAGCAGGTTTTGGATATAGCATTTCCGACCGGTGCCGGCGCCACGTCGTGCCGGGGGAGGAAGGGAGGCTGGAATGTCTCGCTCCGCGGTCTTGTAAAAACATGTGATATATTATATTTGTGTGTCAGTGTGGCGGGCGTATTGTCTAGGATTAGCTTACGTGTAAAACTGCCACGGCCACGCCAGCACGTGCTCGCACGACGTCGCCGTCGCACGGGCAGCCGCGGTCCGCGCGCGGGTGTCAAGGAGGTTGATAAAAACCTTTCGCAAGTACGAGCCATGGCGCTTTTGGCAGATAGATTAGCCATCTAGACCGCTCGCCAGGCCACGTGGAGCCGCCGTACATGTCTTCGCTTCTAAAACCTCTGTTGTATAGACGTAACGCTATACTCGCAGAAAGCACGCCACGTCATTCGCGTAGCCGGCCAATGAGCGATCGCGTCATTTGCTGATTGACAGCGATTTCTTGTAGGAGCCACTACGCCCTCCCCCTCTTATGCCATGCAGGCGGCGCCACCCAAAAAAAGTTTATGAGCGGCCGTTTGGAGATGGGCTCAAGCCGTCCAAAACTCCCGAAATGTCGGTTGGAATTGCCCGCCGCTTTCAGACCCCTGTCTCAGAAGGCGGCGTATTCGCGTTGTGGGGCGCGCTCCGCGCCGAGCTGTGCGCTCGCCGCGCAAAAACCGGGGCCGCAAGTCCGGTCCGATCTAGCATATAACTGAATAGCACCCATGGCGCTTAAGGCAAAATGCATAAGTAAACTAGAAAGGCAGAGTTGTCGCCAACTACATGTATTCCCCCGTGTTCCCCCAAGATGTGTAATATACGTAACGTTTGGGTCGCGCTAGTTGTCAATTAGGGGCCAAGTTATAGAAGCTGAAGGCGAAATATGATGAAGCGGTCAAGGTCAAGGTCAATGGTCAAAAAAAGGTGCAGCTGAATCGGTTTCCGACGCGACACACCTTTCTCCCCAAGATGTGTAGATACCAAGTCTGGTCGCGCATAGGTCAATTAGGGCGTCCGAGTTATAGAGTGGATGCGGAAATATGATCATAGGTCAAGCTCAAGCTGTCAAATAGCGGCCGCAGTGACCTTGTTTTGGTACGCGACACACATTCTTCCCGCCAGGATGTGCAAGTATACCAGTTTGTCGGTCACGCTAGGTCAATTAGTGGGCCGACGTTTATTGAGCGGAAGGGAAATATAATCGAAGCGTCAGGTTAAAGGTCAACATAAATGGTCGTAGGGACCTGGTTTGGTATGCAGACACACTTTATCTCCCCCAAGATGGTGTAAGTATCACCAAGTTTTGGTAGCGCCACTAGGTCAATTACGGGCCGAGTTAATAGAGCAGAACTTTTAGGAAATATGATCAAGGTCAACGTACTAAGGTCAAATAAAGGTCGTAGTGACCTGGTTTTGGTAGCGCTTAGCGCTCATTTAAGGGCCGGAGTTTATGGAGAGCGAAGCCGGAAATATGATTCAAGGTCAAAGTAAAGCAGTCAAAATGAGAACGGTCGCAGTGACCTGGTTTTGCCGTACGTTGCCTCCCTTCTCCCAAGATGTGTAAGTATAACAAGTTTGGTAGCGCTAGGTCAATATAGGGCGAGGTTAGAGCAGCGGTAAGGAATTGGATCAATGGTCAAATAAAGGTCGCAGTGACCTGGTTTTGGTACCAAGTTTAGTAGGGCTAGCGTCAAATATTAGGGGCCGAATTAAAGGCTCACATATTGCGATTCCAAACGCTAATTTCTCCAGTACTAGACTTAGCAAATACTCGTGTCATTGCATAATCACACTACCTTATTGACAAAATAAACTCTGTTGCTCCAATTTCACTGCGCGTTTTGCTTAAACCCACAAGAAAGAGGCTGAGAAAAACTGAGCATTCTGGCCGCAACGCCGACTGTTCCCAAACAAAATAAGCCTCGAAAGTGTGACGTGACGTCACATGTTTTTATCTTTGCTGCGCCGTTACCGCTGATACCGCCCGCGGCACGCTGACGGTTGCTTGTGAATCTCGGCGGAATACCTTCAACACATTCTGGCAACAGTAGAAGATACATTGATGTCACCAGCATTGCCAGGGCTTTAGAGACGAAACAAACAGGTCTAGCAGCCGCTTTGCCAGACCTACATGCTTTCAGTGGCTGTGACTTTACAGCGGCATTCTACAGAAAAGGGAAAATCAAGCCGTACGAGCTACTAGAAGATGACAATGACGGAAGTTTGATCCAGTTCTTCAGCAGCATGTCGTCGAGAGGGGAACTAACGAGAAAGATCGCAGAAGTGTACGTGTGCTCCCTATATGGAATGAGCAAAGTGAATGATGTGAACGAGGCAAGGTTCAACAAGCTTGTTCAGCTGACTGGCAAAATAAGTAAGGTGAGAGAACATGAATGAAAAAAAATGTGAATTGCCCATCAAGAGAAAAACTCATAAGTGGAGAGGCACCTTTACATAACTGACCTTATAATATCCTCTTGTCTTGTCCTCTTGTCTTGTTCCTCTTGTCGTTTCAGGAAAACCCAATGGCGAAAGTCAAGAAAGTGGATTGTGCCCTGCTACCCCCATGTGGAAAGACCATGTGGAATAAAGTACAGCGTGCGCATTATGTGAGCATCATATGGGGTAATGCAGACTCCCCACAACCGGACCAAGATCTGGACCCTCTCCAGTATGGATGGAAGAATGAAAACCGCCATTATGTACCAGATTGGTTTCCTGGACCTGCTGAACCAGACAATCTTTTCTGCAATGATCACGAGGAGGAATCGATAGAGATACAGGAAAATGAGGACATTGATGACATCCCAACGGATGATTCTGGCACAGACTCTGGACCAGAATGGAGTGACAATTCGGATAGTGAGAGCGAGGCCTGAAGTTGCTTAGCCAACTGACAAGTTGCATTTACGCTATAGGACCTATATGCCTTGCATTATCGGAAGTGATGTTGTTTTGGAAATACTGCTGCAAGTACTGGTTGTGATGGTGCTTCACATGAGAATACTACCTCATTCTAGTCTTGTCTCAGCGAATGATGACAGTAGTACAAATTACCTTTAAAATTCTCTATCACGAAGTTAGAATTTAAGGATATACTATATATTAGGTTGAAAGCATAGAACGATACTGTATACCCTAGATTCCTGTGAGAAATGTCATTGTTTGTAGGCTTCTGATTTGAATCCAATATTTAGCAGTATGAGAATCGCATCAACGAGCCAACGGCTTGATTCTTAAGGATACTACATGTACTTACTTGCTACTGATTCGTTTTCTTGAATCATTATATTTTTCGTCCAGATTTAATTTTTTTATATCATGTTCCTAATTCTCTTAGGATTTGCAATTATGATGTTGTTGATATTCGTGGTTGAAATGTTAGAGATATTTTTGTATGTACGATGTGGATGGCAAAACTTGCCCCACTCTTGAGTCCGTTTTTAACTCTGTCAGTTTAATTTGCATTTTTGAAATAAATTTAAAGTTGAGAACACTCCTAATAGAGTATCAGCCGAAACTTTGAACGGGGAGAGGACGGGAAAAACAACTATAGTCCGCCGGACTAGTAGTGAGCATGGAAATTTACTAGTCCTCATTTTTTACTAATCTCGGACTCACTGACTAGCGTTAGTGTCCAACCCTGCGTACATGTATCTACAAACGGATCCAACGTTACAGCTAGTGTATATTCATGTTATCATATACCACGGCTGCGTGTTCGCGATCACCAAAGTCACCAAAGACTCGATCATACTTTTAGTAATATTAATTGCCATGTATAGGTCATAATTTAATATAGGCACCTTTGACTGCCCTTTCCTTCATCGTAGCGAGTATATAAAAAGTAAACTCCTTCGACCCTTGACATTTCCCAATGTCAAAAGTGTTAGATTGCGTGATTGGCATTCGCACCTTCGCCAGCTAGCTTGCCCATCGCCATCTTGAAAACAGCCTCGGAAGCATGCTCGGGAGGCGTGAATTTTTTCCCTAGGATAATCAAAAACATAGGGCTCTAGTGAAAGCTGCCATTGGTTGAGCTTGTTTCGTCGTTCAATGACGTCACATTGTCGTCATCATAATTCCAATAATTCTGAATAGCCGAACGCGTCGACCACGAACGTCACGGCTGAAACGTCTGAACCCTAGTACGTGCGCATTACTGCAGGGGTGAAAGTCTTTTTCGTCAGAAAGTGAACATTTTGGAGCCAGCCAACTTTGCATAAATGCAATCATGCTATAGAAACACCATTAAATGTGTAGGGGTGACCACCGCTGGGATGAGGGCAACAGCAAAACTCTTTCTTGGAATTGTGAAAAAGGGTTGTAACCTGCTTTGCCACTCAATTACATAATTTAACCTATGCATCAGGTGACGTTTTATACAGCCGGGCGACTATGTAAAAATATTGTTAGTCCAACAGAGGGGGTGGATAGCCACCCAATCCACCCCACCCCCTAAATCCGCCACTGATGTATTAAGCTTGTGAGTAGAGATATCTCAATAGACATATGTCGAGACGAGGACCAGTCTACGCTGGATGACAGTGTGTGAAAATGGTTGCATCAAGAGATCAAAAATTCGTTTAAAATCAATGAAAAATCGGTATGCAGTCGACATTCCATCCTTCCTCACCAAAAGCACCAGCATATGCCGCGGCACACACCGGCTCACGTACAACATCAGAACCCGAACAGATGGGTACAGGTTCAGCTTCTTTCCTAGAACAATCAAAAGCTGGAACCTGCTACCGGAGTCACTGCTCACTAGTCCAACAGCACAGCAATTCACTGGGTCTCTCTGGCAAAACATTGAGTCCGGCAGTATCGTTGTTAATTAGCCAACTCGAGGAAGCGAAACACATCTCTGGCTGGGCAACTACAACAGTCTATTGCCGTATGCTAGTCGCTCTCAGTACTGAGTGCCTGGCCCAGAGAAGCTTAATTCGATCTCTGGAACACGTTAATTACTGTCTACTTGCAGTTTCTAAAAATATTTTATACTAATCTTTCACATGCACCTGGAGTTGCGCACTCCCTCGACGTTATTCTTCACGGACTGTCCAGTATAAAAGTAGAAGTAGAAGTAGAAAGAAATCGATATGAATACATACAAACAACACATATCTTACTCTTTCCATTTCTTTCCATTTATTTGTCATTTACATTATACTGTTGCGCGATATCGGCAATCAAATTCCCGTACATCATTCCGCCTTGCTCGTACATTTTGCGATACATAAATTCATCCAACACAGATGGTAACATAGTCTTCGTGACGCCGTTCATGCGCTTTATCCTTCCCTTTGCCGAACTCCATAATCCTTCAACGGTGTCTGTGCAAATATCGTCCATTTCGAGAAGGTTTTGTTCATTCGGTAGCAAAATGTCACTGAAAACTACCGGATCTCGCTGGAGCCGTTCAGTGCAGACATCGCGGCAGGCCTTGAACCACTCCGTCACCGTCGTCCTTGCCAGGTCTGGCATGAAGGATCTTACATGCTTTATTTGTAAATCCATTGCAAACATATAGATGATGGCTAGTATGCTCTTTAAAGGCAGACGACTCTTCTCGAAGAAACTGCTATTACGAATGGATACTCGACGTCTGCATCGGCGATTACGGCAACACCATATGTACCCATCTGATCTTTGACTTTCCTTCTGCCACCGCATTTCTTTCCCGTGGCATAGCGGTCCGTCCTTGCGAAGAAGATTCATCTCTTTCAGATAAGTTATCGTGTTCTCCACAGTGGACAAAATGCCAAACATAACGAATAAAGATGGTGCTGGTGCCTGTGCTCTTTCCATACTTCCTGCGAACGCTTGAACCAAGAACTTGAAGAAGTATGTAGGGCCTAGTCAACGCACTTTCTGCTCTTCAACGTAAACTTTTTAACGTAAACAAAGCAAAATACAACTACGCATTGTCGAATCGGTCGAATCAGACCGCAACCACACGCGCCAGTTACTGGTTGTATCAATTAATAACTTTTTTTGTCGGCAATCGGTCAACTATCACTTCAACTGGTTCGATTTATCATCGCAGTATATTTCATGAGCTTTCTCTATCGTCCTCAAAACAGTTCCTTGGAAATTCAAGACTAATAGTAATAATTATGGGGTCATAATTGGTTATCGTTGGTTGGACCAAAAGCAACTTGAACTTACCGAGGACGAGCAAGTAACCGGTCATTCTATGAGCTGCGTGCCAATTGTTTAAATATGGCAGAAGAAGGTAAATGTAATTTGTTTTCGTTTGAAAAGTACTACATCGGCTATTTTGTTAGTGTGTGGTTGAATGAAATGATCTGTTATCAATGTAAAATTTTGCAAACTACATTAGCTTCTGCAACCTCTTCACGATCTTCTCACGCCCTGCTTCACGCCCTGGAATATAATGCGCTGGCTTACCGCGAAGTTATTTAATTCATAATCATAAATCATATTGTATTTTAATTTCTATTTATCGCAAGATGTGCGTGAGGCTTTTTACAATGTGGTAACTACCTTGATAGGGATCTCCACACTTTTAAATGTGGCGTATCTTGGATCGTGCCACTTGGCACGTGACTTGCAATGAAAACTGCTGCACCCACCTCTAAATTAGGAGTCCGACTTTGACTAGATACAATAATGTAACCCAACAAGAGTAGGGTTACAACGCATCCCTATCCTTTTGTGTGGAGGAACCCCTGAGTGAATCACTCAGGGCGGTTTGCTGGTGCGTTTTCAAAGACTAGAACTTCCAAACTGGGTTTATTCTCAACACGAACTTTTCTCCGCTATCTTGGAACTCACTATGTATCACAATACTCTGTATTAAACTAATATAACCTGTTACAAAAATTCGAAGTGACGAGCGGCGAAGTAACGAGCGGCGAATATACTGAGCGCCATTTCTGTTGACCTGTGACGTACACATTCCCAATGCGATCGGCAAACGCAGCGCCCTCCGATTGGTCGGTGAATCCGCTCTTCAAACCGAAGTACGTCACAGGTCAACAGAAATGGCGCTCAGTATATTCGCCGCTCGTCACTTCGAATTTTTGTAACAGGTTATATTAGTTTAATACAGATCGAGTATTGTGATACATAGTAAGTCCCCGGATAGCGGAGAATTAAGGGTTCGTGTTTAGAATAAACCCAGTTTGGAAGTTGTAGTCTCGAAAAACGAACCATAAAACCGCCCTGAGTGAATTACTCAGGGCGCCTCCACAGAAAACTATAGTACGCATTGTAACCCTACTCTTGTTGGGTTACATTATTGTATCTAGACTTTGACCGGATCAAGGATAGTTTGGGACCCCCGAAATATGTTTTCGCATATGTGGCATAATGTGGGTGATACTCCATTAGGAGTGTTCCCAACTTTAATAACATATATATACATATATACAGGAGTGTATCAATAGGAGTGAGAAAGACTGAAACCGGCAAAATTCAACATTTAGTAGCCTTAGTCTACCTATGATTTATTGTGTTTACCTCGATAAACTTGAG